TGCACTCTTCCTCCAGCACCAGGAGTGGATGCCTGCTAGGGACTCAGCACCCCAAGTTCCTACCGGAAGCTATAAGTCTGTACCTCTTTGTCCCTTCCATCTCCATAAGGAACAGCACAGCCCTCCTTCAAGTTGAGGCCAGAGACTGAATGCCATCCTGATGTCTTCCTCATTCCCGCTGCGCACAAAAACGCTCATGTCACTGACCTCAGGCTGCTGTCCCACACTGAGAATTAGTATTTACATTTCATCATTTAAAAGATGTTTATTTAGGGGTTGGCGCTGTGGTGCAGTGGATTAAGCCACTGACTGCATTGCCGGCATCCCTCATGGGTGCTAGATTGAGTCCCGGCTGCTCCACTTGTGATCCAGCTCCCTGTTAATGTGCCTGGGAAAGCAGCAGAAGATGGCCCAAATGTTTGGGCCCCTGCATCCATGTAGGAGAACTGGGAGAAGCTTTTGGCTCCTGGCTTCAGATTGGCCCAGCTCCAGCTATTGTGGCCACTTGGGGAGTAAACCAGCTGATGGAGATCCATCTCCCCCCCTCACTTTCCTTTTTTTTCTATGTATTTCTGCCTTTCAAGTAAATAAATAAATCTGAAAAAAAAACACAAGTAATAAATGCTGGTGAGGATGTGGTGAAAAAGGTACCCAAATCCACTGCTGCTGGGAATGTAAACTAGTACGGCCATTGTGGAAGACAATACAGAAATACCTCAGAAAGTTGATGGAGATTTCTCAGAAATCTGAAAACAGATGTACCATATGACCTAGCAATGCCACTCCTAGAATTTACCCAAACGAAATGAAATCAGCATGTGAAAGAGCGATCTGTACCCCCAAGTTTATTGCGGCTCTATTCACAATAGCTAAGATATGGAATCAACCCAGATGTCCATCAACTGATGAAATCGTACTATGGGATATTATAAAAAAGAATGAAATCCTGTCTTTTGTAACAAAATGGATGCAACTGGAAACTGTTATACTTAGTGAAATAACCCAGTCCCCCAAACATAAACATGTTTTCCCTGATCTGTAGTAACCAATAGAGTACCAAAATATGTAATGTGAAATTGACATTTTTTTGAGATTTGGTGATTGTTTACAGCCCTTGTCTGTACTGGAGCCAGCATCATGGCTTAGCAGGTAATGCTGCCACCTGTAATGCTGGCATCCCACATCAGTACTGCTTTGTGCCACAGCTACTCCACTTCGGATCCAGCTCCCTGCTAATGTGCCTGGGAAAGCAGTGGAAGATGGCCCAAGTGCTTGGGTCCCTGCACCCACGTGGGAGACCTGGAAGAAGCTCCTGGCTCCTGAATTTAGCCTGGCTCAGGCCCGGCCATTGCAGCCACTTGGGGAGTGAGTCAGCAGATAGAAGATCATTTTGTCTCTCTGTCTCTCCTCTCTCTGTAACTCTTCCTTTCAAATAAATAAATCAATCTTTTTAAAATTTTTTATTTAAACTAATTTGACATATAAAAATTGTCCATATTTATGAGCTATTATGTGATGTTATGGTACATGTATGCATTGCACAATATCCAATTGGGCTAAATATATTTAGTTCTTTAAGCATTTAACATTTCTTTATGATGAAAACATCTAAAATCCTACCTTCTGGCTTATTTTAATATCAATAAATATACAATAAGTTAGCATTATCTATAGTTACTCTGCTGTTCAAAAGAATCCCCAGAACTTCTGACTCTATCTAGCTATAACCTAGTACCTGCCAATCAACCTTTTCCCATCCTCTCCCCCCATTCCCTGGGGTAAGTATTTCAATTTTAAATACAATGAAACTGTAGACAGCTACAAGATATCAGGTTAAACTACATTGTGTTACAATAATAACCTTAAAATGTCAATGCCTTAACACAACAAAAGTCTTAAGTTTCTAGGTTACCTTACAAGTCTTTCAAGCTTGGTGGATGGTGGGGACCTGGTGGGAGGTCCCTAAGTTACTCAGAAACCTAGGCTGGTGGAGGAGCTGTCACTTAGAACACTGTTAATTTTTGCGTCAGAAAAAGAGGGGTGGTCCACCCTTTTGTGCCTCAGTTTAGAAGTGACACACTGGTTTTTCACGCAGGACCCACTAATCAAAACTAACCACATGGGCTCAAAAAAATAAGTGGATTTGGCAAACGTGTGGCAGCAGGTGGGCGGTGTGGGAAGCATGAAAATATCCAGGTGGAGATGTCTGGGCACCCCCAGTAGGCGTACGTGGAACAGACATTCAGGAAGGAGTCATCAGCAGATAGGAGTATTCATGGCCACCCTCACTGTCTATGATCTGAGTTCCAAGGACATCACCCTTTCTCGGTCTGAAGAAGCAGCAAGTCCACATGGGTGGATTCCCTGCAAACCTCCCTACAGTGAACCTAGCAGCACACACGTGCCTTCGCGGGCTCTCCAGGGAGAAAGCAGCCTCTTTAAAAATTCTCTAACAGGAAGGGACTGCTGCTCCAAGGGCCTGATGGTCAGAGCAGACAGGCTGGGCTCACCTAGATGAGAAGGGCCAGTTGAAACTGAATCTCAAGATAGCCAGAGACAAAGCTGGAAGTGTATCATGCCACTGACACCGCAAGGTGTCGCTAGTAGGTCAAAGTTAGAAGCAGGGAAAACCAAGGCAATCAAACAGCATAGGGAAGAAGGAACGAAGTAAAATGCAAATTGGTTCCAAGGAGAGAAATTGTAGGACGTGCCCTGAGATGGCTACAGGCATTGTGGTGCAGTGGTTTGGGCTACTGCCTGCAATGCCAGCTTGTGATAAAGGTCTGGTTTGAGTCCCAGCTGCTCCACTTTCCATCCAGCTCCCTGCTAATGCATCTAGGAAAGCAGCAGAGGATGGTCCAAATGCTTGGGCCCCTAAATCCATGTGGGAGACCCAGATGGAGTTCCAGGTTCCTAGCTCCAGCAGGGCCCAGCCCTGGCCATTGCACCCATTTGGGGCATGAACCAGTGGATGGCAGATCCTTTCTGTCTCTCCCTGTGTCTGTAACTCTGCCTTTCAAATAAATAAAATTTTTTAAAATGGTCAAAGGGGAAATGATTCCATTAAACATACTGATCACTTATATAAACTATACTGAACAAAACACAACCAGGAGAAACTAGCGCTGGAGGCAAATCCTTATTCTCAGCTTCTCAGCTTCTTACATGTGGAGGCTCACTTAAAGATGGCATTTAAATGGCACTGTGGGGCAAATGGACAAGGCTCCTGGGTTTCAGCTGTCCCAGGTTGGCAGGGCCACCCTGGGTCCTGAGATCTACTATGTCAGCATATTAAATTTCAAGCTTGGATTCACACTGGAATTACCTGGGAAGTTAAAACGTTATTTCTATTTATTTATTTATTTATTGACAGGCAGAGTGGACAGTGAGAGAGAGAGACAGAGAGAAAGGTCTTCCTTTTGCCGTTGGTTCACCCTCCAATGGCCGCTGCGGCCGGCGTGCTGATCCGAAGGCAGGAGCCAGGTGCTTCTCCTGGTCTCCCATGGGGTGCAGGGCCCAAGCACTTGGGCCATCCTCCACTGCACTCCTGGGCCATAGCAGAGAACTGGCCTGGAAGAGGGGCAACCGGGACAGAATCCGGCCCCCTGACTGGGGCTAGAACCTAGCGTGCCGGCGCCGCAAAGCGGAAGATTAGCCTATTGAGCCGCGGCGCCGGCCTAAAACATTATTTCAAATCCTCCTTCCCTCACCAACATGTTATTTCACTGACCTGGAATGCAGACATGATTTGGTATCATGACATTTTTTTAAGGTTTATTTTATTTATTTATTTAAAAGAGAGAGAGAGAGAGAGAGGCGTTTTCTATTCACTGGTTCACTCCCCAAATGGCCACAAATAGCCACAGCTGAGCCAATCCAAAGCCAGGAGCCAGAAGTTTCCTGTGGGTCTCTTACATAGGTGTGGGGACCCAAGGACTTGGGCCATCTTCCACTGCTTTCCCAGATGCATTAGCAGGGAGCTGGATCAGAAGTGGAGCAGCTGAGACTCGAACCGGTTCCCATAAGGGATGCCAGTGCTGCGGGCCAGGGCTTTAACTCGATGTGCCACTGCGCCACAGCACCAGCTCCTATCATGGCTTCTAAAAATTCCCAGGTGGCTCTATGGCATAACCTGGGTTCAGAATCACTCCCATTAGAGGACAGTAAAGGGAACTTTAAAAGCCCATTGGAGGTAAGTGTTTGGCTTAGGGGTAAGGTACCTGGATCCCATATCAGAGCATGTGGGTTTGATCCCAGCAGCAGGTCCTGGCTCTAGCTTCCTGCTAACACAGACCCTAGATGGAATGGTGATGGCTCAGGTACTTGGGTTTCTCCCCCCACATGGGGAACCCAGAGTGAGTTCCTGGATCCTGGCTTTGACCTGGCCCAGTTTTGGCTACTGCAGGTATTTATAACAGATGGGAAACCTCTCTTTCTTACTATCAAATAAATAAATATATATCTTTTAAAGTCTATCAGATTCATATACTTTGAGCTCTGACCACAAGTATGAGGGTTTTGGTGTGCTTTTTTTTTTTTTTTTTATTCGGGGAAGTATAAAGAGGAAGAAAAATTATGAATCCAAAATATAAAAGTGAAACCCTTTATCTGCCCCCAAAGGAACTACCGTTATGTTCTGGATTGTTTTTTAACGTTTACCTCTCATGTGAGAAATAATTTGGGTTCACACTGTAGACAGTACAATAGATCTCATTCTGCACTTTTCCTTCTAACGTTCATCAGCTCATGAACCTACTCTCCGCGTATACGGGGTAGTTCACCTGCTTGAACTGTATTTTATTGAACCATTCCCGTGTTGATGATCCCATTAGCTGTTGTCATTCTTCCCTTGCACCTTTACCTAAGAATTATATGCATCATGAGGAACTTTTCCAAGTAGTTTTTTAGGGTAAACTCCTAGGAGTGTGACGGCTGGGTGCACTTAATATTTGGATAAATGTAGTGAGGTCAACGCCTAAAGAATAAATGATGACACTCACATTTGTCAAACACAGGGCTCAGTCAGCCAGTTCCCAGGCGCGGCCGGGACGCCGGGGACAGCGGGCCCCTGCCAGCCCGGGTCCTTGGAGGCCACAGGGGCCGTCGCCGGGGGCGGGTCTCCAAGGTCACGTGGACGATTCCGCCCCGCCCCGCGATGGCTCGCGCAGCCGCATCTCGCAGAGGCAGCGGAGGGCGGGTCTTGAGGGGGGCGGAGCAAGGGCTCCAAAACTGCCAATTCTGTTCTCGCCTCGCGCGATTGGGCGGCCGGGAGCGGGGCGGGGCTCGCGGGGCCAGCTGCTTCCGGCCGGGCCCGCGGCCCCGAGCGCAGGCTTCCGGCGGCGGGGGTTGTGGTTGGGTGGCTGTGGCCGGCTGGCTGCTTCTGGAGGTTGCTTGGAGCAGTTCGGCCCTCCAGGGCCTGCGCTCTGCGTTGCTGAACCGTTAAACCTCGGTGCATAGTTGTGCCCAGGCACGGGAGGCTCACCCTGAGGGCGGCAGCGCAGCGCCTTTAACAAGCTTTGCCGGCCTAGATGGCGCGCTGAATATGAGGGCTGTTCGCGGGTTTCTGCGGCCCCGCTGGAATATTGGGCGGGGGGATCCGCTGCACCTGCACGGCCCAGTTCAGGCTCTGTGCAGCGCTCTGCTAGTCTGTGAAATAGAACGCGTGGTCACGCGGGGCGAACCTGCCAGGACTGGAAGGACCGTGGCGCTGACGGCGACCCTGGTTTGAGCGAGTCCCACGCAGTTTCCCTCTGCCTCGCGGTGTGCCAGGCCCTCGTTACAGACCACAGCCCAGAAATTAAGCCACGTGCCCCAAATCACCCCACGCCGGGATTCGAGCCCAGGTGGAGCTCACCTATGGTCACAGGTCTTTAATATCAGACGGTGGTGGCAGTTTTCAGAACAGCTACATGATTTTATTAAGATATTAGGCAAGTATCCAATTTTCAAACATTTGTGGACACAACTCGGGCACATTAGCGTTCCTACATTTAAAAAAAAAAAGTTCAGGATCGTCCTATTTGGTGATAGGTATATACGTATCGGTGTTAGAACTCACAGTATATCACTATAAATTTTTGCTAAAAAGTTGTGCCTTCAGGATGGTTTACTGGGAGGCCACGTGTTTTTTATGTATGTATATAATACATATTATATTTATATAATTATATAAATATATAATTATATAATTTAAATAATTATATATTTATATATGAGTGTATGTATATATATATATATATAAATCCATGGTGCTGCCTAAATGGAGCACCTTTCCTTCTGGTGGTTTTCTGAGGATTAATGAGCTAACATAGGAAATGTGTCCAAGTAATAACCCCTCTGACAGCTAGTTTTTATCTATTGTCACTGTGTCTTCCAGTGGAATACAAGGACTGCTCTTGACCTAAACGCGAGTGTCACCCTGCAGATAAGCATTCTGAGCATGTGTGGGCCAAGTCCCCAGACTCCGTAGAAGCGCCTGAGTCACTGCTCAGGAGAGCGACAAGTAAGTACCTTTAATTTCATATCTGTGTTGTGTCCAGTGTCCTTTGGAAACTCAGCTGAGTTAAAATATTTTTTTTGAAAGTTCAACCTGTGCTGAATAAGTATCTAGTAGTACTGAGGGTCTATTCTGCTAATTTATAATTTTCTATGGAATGAGCACCTTTAGAAACCTAATTTTAAGGACAGATGAGACGTTTTTCTTCAAGACAGTTTTTCGAGGGTAAGTATTTTCATTATTCCACTTTTCTCTTGTTAAGATTCTGCTGGTTTTGATCTGTTGTACATAGTTCATGATGTGATCGTAGTTCATGATGTATTCTTGCAGAGTGCTGTTGTAAAGTGTTCTCCCCACAAAAGCAGTAACTGAGGTATGCATAGCTTATTCAGCTACATTTGGTCATGCCACAGTGTGTATATACGTCAGTGCATAGGGTTGTTCACAGAAAATACATACAATTTAATCTGTCAGTGTAACACATTTTCAGCGAAGATTGTGCAATCTTAAAGTAGACTCAATATGCAGGCAATGGGAGCATCTGGATAGCTCATCAGAGTAGCAGTCGTTAACATGCTCCACGTGGCCTTGTCAGAATGAGCCATGACGTCCGTAGTATTTAATTAAGAATAGCATGCGCGTGAGTATTGAATAGTCACCAGCTGGCATAAATAGTGCCATATATCATGTGGGGGGGGGGACTCTTCCTCCAAGGATGAGGTAATACTTTCTTAAGCAGAATGCAAGGCTGTCGTCTGATTCTCTGAACTCTATCAGTTAGCCCCAGCCTTCCTGACCACTTCTTATCAGCCCTTTCAAAGGCTCCTGCAGTGTTCAGGGTTCCTACAGTTTTTCTTGATTGGAGGCTGAACCTGGAGGAAGAACGGCATTTGGTTTTCATGTGGGAGTTGGGAGACCTTAATCAACGTTCAGTGTTAGTCTGCATCTCCTGTATCTTGTTACTTGCTTCATGTTTGTATTTATAGTTTTTGCCTGGAGGGAAAGATAGAACTGTTCATTCTCTTCCTTCTCTGGTCCCATTTTGAAATAAGCCATACCCACTTCTCAAGTTCATTCATTCATGATTCGTGGGCAGGCACATTCCTTGAGGATACAAAGTGCAATTTTACTCCTGGGTTTTGGATCATTTGCTACATAATATATAATATAGGAAGATACAACTTAGATATTGAAAAGAATAATTTTAGATATAAGAACTAACAAAATATTTTGAAACATTTAAGAAATTTTGCCTTACTTTTCTTCATGCATTTACCCTGTAGACATGTATTCTTGAGTAATATATTGTTTGGTTTGCCTGCTTTACACTTGAAAAAAAATGGAAGCATCCTTTGAATTCTTTTTAAATTTTTTTTCACTTCAAGTAACATTTTGGTGAGTTTATTGTTATTATTATAATTTTTCCTCTCCTCTCTCCTCTCCCCTTTCTTTTGTTTTGGTGGAAGAAGAAAGACATCTGCCTTCTGCTTGTTCACTCCCAAATGCCCGCAACTGCTGAGGCTTGGCTAGGCCGAGTACCCAATCCAGGTCTCGCATGTGTATGACAGAGGCTCCTTGCGCCATCACCTGCTGCCTCCCAGGGTGTGAATTAGCAGGCAGCTGGAATTGGGAGCAGAGCAGAGCTGGGACTCAAATCCAAACATTCTGATAGGGGGTGAGGGTGTCCCAAGCAGTATTCTTACCACTAAAACAAACACCTAGCCCCTGAAGCCATGTTTTTAAATAATAATAATGATGATGATGCAAGTTGATGTAGCGATACATTTTCAGTGCCATTCAGCATTCTGAATACACCTGCAAACTCCCGGCTCTGCTGTTGGGTTTTGAGCTGCTCCTTGTCCTCTGTTGCTGTGGCTTCCTTGTGTGCACGTTTCCTGGTCATTCGTACGCATTCCTGCTGTGTACGCCTAGAGTGGGATTGTGGATCATGAGTTTATTCAGCCTTACTGGTGAGGCCGGACTGCGGTAGCATCACTCGTGGTCTTGCCAGCGCCTGGTGTAAGTTTTAGCCAGCGGTAGAAGAAAAGTAGCATCCCCCTTTGTGTCTTCGCTTTGCCTTTTCCTACTAGTGGGGTTGATCACCGTGGGGTGTGATTCCTGGCCCTTCAGATGTCCTCCTGTGTGAAATGTGTGTGTTTTTTGCCCTTTGTTATATGGTTGTTTGGCATTTTCTTACTGGCCTTTAGGAGTTGTTGTTTTCTGAACCTTAGTCATTTATTGGATGTGTTGTGGAGTCTGCGTTCCTTTCTCTTCAGTCTGTCTCCGCTTCTTTCTGTTCATTGTCCTGCCCACTGCTGTTGTCCTGATCGCCGCTGTGTCTGCTGTGGGCACCTCTGCAGAGGAACACTGCCACCTGAGCCATTGTTGTATTTGGATGCCAGCCCAGCCCAGTAAAACCAAATGACTGCTTAGAGACAGTCTTCCAGCCTCCTGTCAGCCACAGCCAACCCAGAAAATAGTGGCCCTGCTTCTCTTTGCCTTTTTTTTTTTTTTAAAGACAATTATTTTCTATTGTGAAATATATATTATTTTCTCATCCTTTTGTTTTTTCAAGTAACTGGCTTATTTAGAGCATGGATTAACAGTGCAAACTTCAGAGTGCAACTTTGACATTCCTGTAATTTTCTCAAATTTGATGTGTATGATGTTTCCCTTTTTACAGTGAATCATAGTTTCCACGCGTCTCCATAAATACACATGTGCACACGCACGCACACACACACATGCCCTACTACTTACACCTCACTTTGGGAGCGCAGACTTACAGTGTCATCTGATACCTGTCTTCCCTGTAGCTCAGAACTGCCTCTCTCAACAGAGCGGCCTGCGAATAATTCCCTTTTTCTGAAGCTCACCCCATCGCACTCACATAGAGAGTTTTCTCCTAAATAGTACTTCCTCTGTTTTATAAACTCGCTTTCAAAATGAGCCACGCTCTTTTCCTTCTAACATTTCAAAGCTTCCACTGTGTCATGCAGGATTAAATAAATATTTAGAGAAGCCATCAGAAAAGTCCTCCGCCTAAGGTCTGAAGCCACTGGGCACTCTCCGTCTGGTTGAGAGAGCATTGAGTCCATAGTTTGTGGCTGTTCTCAGCAGGGCTCAAGTGACTCTTTTAGAGAAGTTAAATGTGTTTGTGGGTGCATTAGCCTAAGACCGGGGTGGAGAGAATGACAGGTTCCTGTCTCTAACTTCCTATGAACCATGGCCATGTTTCTGCATTTGAAGAGGGAGGGTGTGGATAATGAAGACTCATCTTTTATAGTAGAATATTGATGTGGAGCTGAACGTGATTTGTGGTTTTGTTAAATATCTTGCATCGTAGACAGGTGTGTGAATACTTGACATCATGAGCGTTTTACAGCAAAGTTCTTTTTTTAAAATTAATTAATTTATTTGAAAGGCAGAGCTACAGAGAGGCAGAGGCAGAGAGAGAGACAGAGAGAGGAGAGAGAGATAGGCCTTCCATCCGCTGGTTCACTCCCCAAATGCCACAATGGCTAGAGCTGGGCCAATCCAAAGCCAGGAGCCAGGAGCTTCTTCCAGGTCTCCCATGTGGGTACAGGGGCCCAAGGACCTGGGCATCTTCTGCTTTCCCAGGCCATAGCAGAGAGCTGGATGGGAAGTTAAGCAGCCAGGACTTGAAACAGTGCCCATATGGGATGCCAGCACTGTAGGTGGTGGCTTTACCTGCTATGCCACAGCGCCAGCTCCACAGCACACTTCTTAATATCTCACAGCAGCCAGGTCCCTGTAGCAAATGGGGGCCATTGCTCACTCATGCTCATTCATGCCCTTTCCTCTCTCACAGGTAATTCTTTGACTTGCACAGGGCACCCTTGGATTCATCTGCAAGCTGCCTGGGCCTTTCTGTAATTTCCAGTCCAATTAAATAAATACACAAAATGATTCAAATGGAACTGAAAATGAAAATATTGGACAAAACCCAGCCTTGTCATTATATTTTGTTTTGGAAGGCTTGTGTCTCATGCAAACATATAATGAAAAGTTATAAGATGGCCAAAGAGTATGTGAGGTTGACAGTGCGTGCGTGTCCCTTTTTTTTTTCTTTTTTTTTTTACAGGCAGAGTGGACAGCGAGAGAGAGAGAAGGGTCTTCCTTTCCTTTGGTTCACCCTCCAATGGCTGCCTCGGCCGGCGCACTGCAGCCGGCACATCGCGTTGATCCAAAAGCAGGAGCCAGGTGCTTCTCCTGGTCTCCCATGGGGTGCAGGGCCCAAACACTTGGGCCATCCTCCACTGTACTCCCTGGCCACAGCAGAGAGCTGGCCTGGAAGAGGAGCAACCGGGACAGAATCCGGCGCCCCGACCGGGACTAGAACCCGGTGTGCTGGCGCCACAAGGCGGAGGATTAGCCTAGTGAGCCGTGGCACCGGCCTGTGTGTCCCTTCTTTAAAGCTCAGTGTATGCACCACGTTGAGTTTTGAAGAGCTAATGTTACACAGTCTCGTATGTGAATCGTCATTTTCATTCAGGGACCGGATCAGCTTTGTAACCCTTGAGCCTGTCCCTGTGAACCACATGGAGATTCCTTAGTCTTGTTTTGTTTTTTTTCTTTTCATTTCTATACACGAAGAGATGGGATAAGAGAAAAATTTTGGAAATGGAGGGGAAAGGGTATAGCTTATATTCTGGAGGTATTCCCTTACTTACCACTAGTTCTTGGACACTTCCTGGTATTGGATTTCTAGGAGAATGCAGATGTAGGGTGGAAGTAAACTTAGAGAGAGAAAGGGGCACAAAACATGCCCAGCTCCTTATGGAACAAAAAGTCTGAAGAAGATCGGAGTTTACTAGGATGCCCAGGTTTCCTTCCTGTATCATTTGTTTAATAGTCAGAGCTGGCCAGCATTAGAGTGGCTTTTACATGAGTGCCTACCCTTGCAACCTGAGGAGGCTATTGGCTAGACAAGAAAACAGAATGAAGTTCATGTGAACGGTACATCAGTTATACCCTCCACGGGTCTCGTCTTTCTTCAGTGTCTCTTCCACTTGACCTCTGATGCTGAAGTGCCTTGTGCCCCTCCCCAAGTGATTGCATGGAATTCTGTAACTTGGGAGCCACCACATTTCTCCTAGTGACTCTCAGCTCTAGTGTCATGTTCTCTGCCTGCTGACTTGATTCCTCCATTGCTCTTAATTTCCCGTACCCACAGAAATAGCATTCCTTTCTCACTCTTCCCTGTCACGTTCCACCTAGTTGTACAAACCTAGAACTTGGGAGCTGTTTCTTTGGCTGTGTCATGTCATTCATTCCAGGTCATCAGCCCAAATTCTCTGGGCCTCTAATTCTTCACTTGGAAATTAAAATAATAATAATAGTGCCATCCTTTTAGTAATATGCTGGGGGGATTAAAAGAGTTAATAAATAAATGTGAAGCCTTAATTTTTATAGGTACTGCTGTTATTGGTGTTATCCACGCCTACTCTGAGTCAACACCCTGTTCCTAGCTACCAGCTCCATCATGGATCACTGCAGTGGCTTGCTTGCTTGCCTGCTTTCATTCATTCATTCATTTGAAAGACATAGTTATAGAGAGAGGTAGAGCCAGAGAGAGCAAGGTCTTCCATCCACTGGTTCTCTCCCCAATTGGCTGCCATGGCCAGAGCTGAGCTGATCTGAAGCCAGGAGCCAGGAGCTTCTTCCAGGTCTCCCATGTGGGTGCAGGGGCCCAAGGACTTGGGCCATCTTCTGCTGCTTTCCCAGGCCATAGCAGAGAGCTGGATTGGAAGAGGAGCAGCCAGGACTCAAACTGGCGCCCATATGGGATGCCAGTGCTGCAGACTAGGGCTTTAACCCACTGCGCCGTAACGCCGGCCCCTGCAGTAGCTTTCTGATTTCTGTGCTTCTGTTCTTACCGTGCTACAGTCCGTCCTCCTCAGAGCCAGGACACTCATGGCGCACGGCCCTGCCTTACCCCGTGGAGCAGCTTCCCATTGCTCTTAGGACAGAACCCACATGCCATGCGGCAAAGCCTGGCTTCTGCCTGTTGGCCGCAGCCCTTTCATTTCCTCTGATTAACCAAGCCTTTTCTTTCCTTCAGGCTTCTGTATTTCCTGTCCTTTTGGTTTGGAATTCCTCCCCTGCCCCTAGATCTCAGCTGGTCCAGTCTCTGTGCATTTCAGGGGTTCAGCTCACCTGTCCTCCCAATGACTTTCCCGGGCCCACTCTTTGCAAAACTGCTTTCTCCTGTGACTTTCCCTCTCATATTACCTGGTGTGTTTTGGCGTGTGGACTTTTCTGATGGTGTGCATTTATTTTGTATTTTTTTAAAGATTTTATTTATTTGAAAGGCAGACTTAGAGGCAGAGAGAGAGAAAAATCAATCTTCCATCCGCTGGTTCACTCCCCAATTGTCCACAACAGCTGGAGCTGGCCTGATCCAGAGCCAGGAGCCAGGAGGTCCTCCAGGTCTCCTACATGGGTTCAGGGGTCCGAGAACTTGGGCCATCTTATACTGCTTTCCCAGGCCATAGCAGAGAGCTGGATCGGAAATGGAGCAGTCGGGATTTGAACCGGCACCCATATGGGATGCCGGCACTGCAGGCAGCAGCTTTACCCACTACACCACAGCGCCGGCCCTGGTGTGCATTTATTGTCTTTATGTGTGTGTTTACTCATTACTAATCGCACCTTCTAGAATGTAATCCTGGGGAGGGCAAACACCTCTGTCTTGCTTCCTGAAGTGCCAGCCCCGTGGTTTGTATTCAGAACTCCTGCATCCAAAGATGGTCTCTCAGGAGGAAGAACTTCATAGAAGGAGACTCTGAAGAGCCACTGTTGAAAGCTGTCTTTGTACATGAGAACGTCGCTGTGCTAGAGTTTATTGTACATGGCCACTCTTGGAGAATTTTGCCTGCTTGCTCTTTTCAAACATAACCCTCCCTAACTAGGTAAGAGAAGCTTGCCCGCCAGTGTCCCAGAGGCGAGTTTAATTCCTGCTTCCTGGCTCAGCCTTTCATTCCTGTCATACAGGGAAGGAACTGAAGTAGCCCTGCTCCAAGACAGTGGCTCGGTCCACAGAGGATCTGGAGCCTGAGGGTGACCCCTCGCCCCCACTCACCCTGCAGAATGAGCTGGCAGGGCTGGGCGCTGTCTGTAGGGTTGAGGATTCCCACTCTGCTCCAAGGGCAGAAACCATGTGGGCATTTCAATAATGAACTTCCTAGGAGCTAAAGGAATAGGCAAAACCCGTTGGTCTTAGTTTCTGTCTTGTGATTTCTTTTTCATTGTGTGCCAAGATTCAAAATAAAATCTCCCAGGGAAGACCCTGGGAAAAATCCTGTATTGGTGGCTGTAACTGTGACACGGATGTGTCTTGATGTTTCATTCTAACATGGAACTAGCCATCTGTGACTGTGTTCTTAAAATATGCAGAAGGTTGGGGCCAGTGCTGTGGCATAGCAGGTAAAGCCATCCCGCCTACAGTGCTGGCATCCCATATGGGCGCTGGTTCAAGTCCCAGCTGCTCCTCTTCCAATCCAGTTCTCTGATATGGCCTGGGAAAGCAGTGGAAGATGGCCCAAGTCCTTGGGCCCCTGCACCCATGTGGGAGACCTGGAAGAAGCTCCTGGCTCCTGGCTTTGGATCAGCTAAGCTCCAGCTGTTGTGACCATCTGGGGAGTGAACCAGTGGATGTAAGACTCTGACTCTCTCTCTCTCTCTCTCTCTCTCTCTCTCTCTCTCTCTGCCTCTACCTTTGTAACTCTGCCTTTCAAATAAATAAATAAATAAACAAATAAATAAATCTTTTAAAAAATATGCAAAAGGTCTCCGGGTCACTTTCAGACAACTAGGCAGAATATCTACATCGCCTGCAAATTCTGCTGTGTAGATTAACAGAAGAGACAGTCACCTCTGGATGCCTAAAATAAGGCAGAAGAAAGTAAAGACCACTTCTCTGTGAAGGAAGAGAATGAAAGGCGCCCACCCACACCTGTGCCTCCGCCCAGCTGCACCTGTGAGTTAGCTGCCTCCTCTCAGCTAAACCACATGAAGCACCTCAGTCCAGGGGCCCAAGACTACTCAGGTGATCGGAGAAGGAGGAAAGCAATGCAGACAATAAGCAGATGTTGTTTAGTATTGGATTGGTATGTATTGATTTGAGAGACAGTTCCCATCCACTGGTTCACTCCCCGGATGCCTGAAGTGGCAGGTGATGGACTGGTGTTGGAGCCAGGAGCCATGAATGGACACACAATCGGGTTTCCCACGTAGGTGCCTGGAGCCCAATTACTTGGGCCATCATCTTGGCCTCCCAGGGTCTGCATTAGCGGGAAGTTAGAGTTAGGAGCCAGAGCCAGGAATCAAACCCAGGACTCTGCTGTGGGACACACAGGTTTCTCAACCACAAGGCCAATGCCCCCTCCCTCCCACAGTACTGAATTGGATGAGAATAAAAGACAGTGAAACAGTACTCTCTGTGCCTTAGGAATTCAGACAATGTCCATGTTAAGCCTTGAAGTGAATCTAATACAAGACTAGCTTTAGAGTGAGGAGTCGTCCCTAACTGTGGCAGGGCTTAAGTGCCTGCAACTCGGCGTGATGGCGATAATCCAGTATTTATAAATGTTTTATTTGCTATAGCTACAGAAAAATACATCCATTCATCTCAAGAAATCCAAGACTGCCCTTACGATTGCATCTGTGAATTAAGTGGTAGCCGCACTAGGGAAGACCACGCGCGATTTTCTGTCTTTTCCCGTTTCATTCAGCCAGCATGGATGCTGATGGCACCCAGCAAGCTCCTGAACAGCAGGAGTATTCTTCTGTCTGTGTGGGCACCGAAGAGGACCTTAAGAGACGGGAGCGGATGACAGCCGTGGTCCATGACAGGGAGGTGGTCATTTTCTACCACGGAGGAGAGTACCACGCCATGGACATCCGCTGTTACCGTAAGACTTTTCTTGTTCTCCTAAAACTTGAGTTCATCAGCCACAGCACTCTCCCAAGTCAGCGCCTTTAGTGACGGGGTGTGATATCGCATTTCCCTTTCAGATTCAGGAGGGCCTTTGCACTTGGGAGAAATAGAGGTACGTGAAATTAAGTTTATTCTCAACCAGCTCAGATGTTTATGTTTCCTGTTTATATTCTCTGATCTCATTTTCTCAAAAGAATTTTTGTTTGGGTTTAGCAGCTATATTTTATTGGCTTTGGACATAATTGCCAGTGTTCTTTATAGTCTTGTAGTGCGCAGAAAGCCATTGCACAGGTAAATATGGGAAATATGCATGTCTTTTGATATAACAGTTATACTCAGAGATGGCTGTCCTGTGGATATAACTGCACAACTGTTTATTATATAATATAGGAATGGTTTATTGCAGCATTGTTCATTAGAATGAAAAATTGAAGGTGACCTAAATGTTTTTCTAAGATTTACTTATTTCTTTATTTTAAAAGCAGAATGCCTGCCACAGCCAGGAGTGGGCCAGGCCAAAGCCAGTAGCCAGGAACTCCATCTGGGTCTCCCACATGGCTGCCTGGGGTCCAAGCACTTGGGCCATCATTCGCTGCCGTCCCAGGTGCATTAGCATTGAGCTGCATCAGCGGTGGAGCGGCCGGAACTCAGAGTGGTGCTCTGATATGGAATGCTGGCATCACAAGCAGCTATCTTAACCCACTGCACCGCAACGCCAGCCCCAAGCTCCATGTTTGAACGATGCAATCCTGGTGAAGTAAATTCAGATTCAGCCATGCTGTGGAATATTATGTAACCATTAAATCAGTGAGATAGATCTGTGTGTGAGTGAAAGAACCAGTCCAAGAATAAGAGTTCTAATGAGATTCCATTTTTAAGTCAAACATGATATAATTTTATTTTGAACACATTGCATAATTTTCACTTTTATGACTATATATTTACCTTTATAATAAAAACATGTAAATTATACTTTTAAAGAAAGAAGCCACACTTTGACGTCTTACCTGAAGAAGACTGGCTAGTGGCTAAAACTAGTCATCTGATTTCTTACTTCTGTGGCTGGCACTGTGGTGTAGCAGGTTAAGCCTCTGCCTGAGGTGCCAGCATCCCATATGGGCTCCAGTTCGAGTCCTGGCTGCTCCTCTTCTGATCTAGCTCTCTGCTGTGGCCTGGGAATGCAGTAGAAGATGGCCCAAGTCCTTGGGCCCCTGCACCCGCATGGGAGACACGAAGAAGCTCCTGGCTCCTGGCCATTAGGGCCATTTGGGGAGTGAACCATCAGATGGAAGACCTCTCTCTTTGTCTCTGTCTCTCTTTCAGTAACTCTACCTCTCAAATAAATAAATGAACAATTTTCTTGTTTCCTATCTGACCCTGATCTCTCTGTCTCCCTCCCTCATATTTTGCCCTTCCTCCTCCACCAGCCCCTCCCCTCCTCTCTCCTTCTGTCTGACTTGGAGGTAGAAGCTTGAAGTCAGCATTTCATTCTCTCTACACTTGGCATCCACTCGGTCCCACACCTGTGCTTCTGTTGAAGGACACATGTGTGTTTAAATTATGAAAATGTCAAAGTGTGCAGAACCGGCAGTCCATAACGAGAGCTGTAAGCCCGTGCTACTCAAAGTGGTGTCCCTAGATCAGCCTTGGGGGCACGGGGAGCTTCTCAGACTGGCAGATCTGGACATACATACACACACACACACACATACACACACACACACGCGCGCGCACACACACACACCACCATTTCGTAAGATCCAAGGGAGCCTCCTGCTCTTTAAAAGTTCCAGAAGCACTTCATTAAGACAGTTAAAATGTGGACAGTTAACTTCTCTGGGTCACAGCTTGCATTCCCGTTAACACGGGCACTGGTGCCTTTTGTAACCCCTTCTGAACGTGTATCTGGAGCTCTGGCTTTTCTAGTAGCTACTGAAAACTCCCCAAGCAGCCCTTGAAGCCCTTGCCCCACTTCTGTCAAGCCAGAGACATTGAGACAGGTCACAGCCCTGCTGCAGTCACGAGAGGCGATTGCCAGTGTCTTCCAAGAACTCCAGCTCCCCGGCTGCCAAAGGACTGGCAGCGACTCCTCTCAGACGGAGTTCTGCTTCATACTGATAATTCGTACGGAGAAGCTGCTTGCTTAACCTGCTTCTTCGACAGTGGACCCTGTCCGAGCCTGAGGTTTATCAGCAGCAGCTGAAATGTCAGACTCCTACAGCGTCTCTTTCTCCCCCTAGGATTTCGATGGCCGAGCATGTATCGTTTGCCCCTGGCATAAATACAAAATCACTCTGGCGACAGGCGAAGGACTGTACCAGTCTATAAACCCTAGAGATCCAGCGGCTAAGCCCAAGTGGTGCTCCAAAGGAGTGAAGCAGAGGATCCACACAGTGACAGTGGACCGGGGGAATGTGTATGTGACTCTCTCCAAGGAGCCTTTTAAGTGTGACTCCGATTTTTATGCCACCGGAGACTTCAAAGTAATTCGGAGTTCTTCCTGATAAAAATGTACGGCAATGAGAAATGTGTGTGCTTGAAAACATTTTAGAATAACTTTGTCACAACATGAAAAATGGTTTTTTTTCCAACATAGGCACAACTATTACTTACCTTTAAAAATCATAGAAACGCGAGGGGTTTAAAAGCACAGGTACTTGGGATGATGTAAGTGATGTGGGCAATGAATTTAGTAATTTTTAAGCCAAGTTCTTGTCTCTTGCAGAGATAGGACTATTAAGCAGAGACTGGTATTGTGTGCGAATAGGAACAAAGTTTACTTGGCAGTGGGGATATAAACATAGATTCTCACCCAAGTGTGGCCCACCCTACACAGAGAAACACACAACATGAGTGGCCTAAAGAGTTGCCCTTCAACTAGAAGACAAGAAAAACCAAAAACAGCACCCGGGGTGGGAAGGTCTGTCTGAGAATAGGAAGGTGGGAGAGGTATGTCTGAGCACCCACAAAACTGGCACGGTACCACCAGGCGAGATCCAAGGTGGAAAAGAGCACTTTCCCATCTTCCACCACCTTTTATCTCATATGACTCAGATGCATCATGGGAAGGCAGGTGCTTTGACTGGCAAGTAGTTGTGTACATGTCGTGGAGGGAGTGGCTTATGACTTCCAGCTCAATAGACCCAACTAGCTGCATGCCTATTTATCCCACATCGTAAGGATTATCATCGTGATCCACAGAATACATTTCATGCAATCCTCTCAATAGATTGGAACCTGAAGGTCACAGGTTTGGGCTGTTGGATTTCAGAAAGATAAAAGTAATTTGAAGAGTAGGTAAGTAAGTAAGATTTAGTAGGAAAATGTTTGTAAAGGAGAAACACACTCCTATTTGATGTAACAGACTTATTTTCTGGAAAAGCTCTAGTATCAACAAAGTGAACAGGGTCGTGTAACCTCGGCAGCTCTCAGCAGTCTTCCTTCTGGGTCTCCTTGATACCCCTACAGTTCATAATTGATACTATTTTATACTGTTTACATAAAATTTAAATATACTCAGGTCTCAAATTTTAGCTGGACAGTTCCCTCAAACATATAGCAGATTTTTCACACTTAAAAAAACGCCTCCATGTCTATGCCTCTCAGATTTAAAAAAAAAAAAAATTTAAATGCCTCAAAAAATGAGATCAGTTTACATGCTGAACTTAAAAATAAGATCCTAACCAGTGTGCTAAACATCCAAACCAAAAGTTTGGCTCAGTTTCTCTGTGGCCAAGACAGATTCTTGAAGAAGCTACACACAGCTGCTGCCTAGCCATGAGAGACAAATTCTCCCACTCAGCCAGGGTAATCTGAATTTCTGTGTGAAAATTTCAAATAAAGGAGATTTAAAAAATTTTAGACAACTCCATTCATGTGTGCACAACTGGGAGTTGCCATATGTTCACAGAGAGAAGAGAGTTAGGGTTTCCTCCCTAAAGAGTTCACAGGCAGGGGTGGCATTCAGGTGGTTCACTTGGCTTTCCCACGCCCGTTACTTACGGCCAGCATGTTCCGGTTGCCTGGTGCCCCCACTGGCCGTACCAGTTGTTAAGTACTTCGATTAACACGCTGGGTGCCAGTCATGCAAAACTCAGCAGCAAAGGGGCTGGCATTGTGGAGCAGTGGGTAAACCTCTGCTTGCAATGCCAACATCCCGTATCAGAGCCCTGGCTCGAGTCCCAGCTGCTCGGCTTCTGACCCAGCTCTTTGCTAATGTACCCGGGAAGGCAGCAAAAGATGGCCCAGGTGCTTGGGACCCGTCACCCAAGTGGAATGGAGTTCTGGGCTCCTGGCTTCTGCCTGGAGCAGCCCTGGCTGTGGTGGCCATTTGGGTGAGTGGACCAGTGGATGAAATCTCTCTCTGTGTCACTCTGCCTTTCAAATAAATAAGTAAATATGACAACAACAAACCCTGAGCAGCACGTAAGAAGAGTAAATGGGACCAGAAAGGAACAGCATGAGAATGAACTTATGAATTCAGAGTGAGAAGATCTGTTCATGAGGTTGGGAACCCCAGTCTCAAAGCACAGTAATCTAAACACCACAGGAGTGAGTTCCGAGTCCAGTTCTACTCAACGTTATCAGGGCCTGCCCTGGACTCTTCCCCTTGGTTTTGCTTAAAAATTGTGAATAAGGTATGTCATAGAAAGGCTGTGCTGACTGAGCCCTGTGCCGCATGTGCTACGCTTCCTTCTCTGTTGAGTTATGGACAGCAGGGGGGACCCTGCACTTCCTGCCCGTTTCCCAGTCTACCAAGCCAGCCTTGGGCTCCCTAGACTTGCTCTTGGTGGCACCAGGCACAGAGAGCACCCCCTCTCTCAACTGACCCCAGGTCTTAACACATTCCAGATGTGCATGGAGGAAACCGGAGTACTTTCTGCAGGCAAAGGCAGGACCAGTATCAGCAGTTGCGTCTCTCAGGGGCAGTGGCAGTAACTGGAGCCTGGGTTTGGTTTCTCTGTTCTAAGTGTGTGTCCCGTGTGTGGAAGGACACCCTGCCAGGTCCTGTCCTCGTGTACAGACCTGGTCTCCCCAGATGTGTAAGTAATAGTTTGCTTTATACACACAGCATTCACGAACTGCAAGCCCTTCGTAACTTGACAGGTGAGTTCTGGAAGAATAATAGGCATTCAAACTCTGCAGCCTGCAGACAGAAAATACATATCCTCTGTTTGTTTAATCTCCTAAAAAGATATATAGCACTGTGATAGGGTTTTTTTTTTCCTGCCAAATAAATAGACATTTGAAACTGATCTTTAATAAAAACATAAACACACCTGCTGTTTGATAAACCACAGTCTAACCCACCACATGGTGCATTTTCTTATTCATTAGAGATCATATAGCCATACGTGTATTCTAATCAACTCCATTTTATTTTCCCTGCCATATAAACACTAGAGAATGACATTGAAGCAGCAGCCCCCTGCCCCCGCCCCTCTTCCAAAAGCAGAGCATTCCGTGAAGGCAGCCGCGCCTCCCAGTGTTGGCAGGTGCGAGGCGCCAGTGGATAGACGAGTCTCGGGCTCTGCTGAGTGATATTTGCGTTCAGACCCTGCTCACTCATTCATTTCAGTTGACTGGTCAAACACCGAATGTAAGACCTGGATCTTGTTACTCCGCTTAGGAGCAGGAGGTTTGGGGTCCTGTGAAATGTGGTCCGGCTTCTCTGGCAGCGACCTGTAAGGTCTGGCTTTGATTCCACCGTCTGGAAACTCGGGCTCCACAAGTATGGGCTCAGAAAAGGCTTTTCTGGAATGTTCGCCCTGCACTCGGTTTTGCCTAAAGGACTCCTCTTCTTGCAAGATGGTCTTTACCTTCTCCAGGACAGTATTAACACAGACGGCCTGCATGACAGAAAAGCTGGGAAGTCGGGTTTCTTTTTAAGCTCCTAACTACAGAGGAGTCACTCCGCACACTGTTCAGAATTAAAGCCACTGATGTCCACCAAAGAAGCACTTCCCTCCGGGAACCTTAAAACCTTGTATGTGGGGCCGGCGGGTGGCGCTGCGGCATAGAAGTTTAAGCTTCTGCCTCCAGTGCCGGGATCCCACATGGGCGCCGGTTGGCATCCTGGCTGCTCCACTGCCAATCCAGCTCCCTGCTAATGTGCCTGGGAAAGCAGTGGAAGATGGCATAAATGCCTGGGCCCCTGCACCTGCGTGGGAGACCTGGATAAAGTTCCAGGCTCCCGGCTTCGGCCTGGCCCAGCTCCGGTCATGGTGGCCATTTGGAGAGTGAACCAGCAGATGGAAGATCTCTCTCCCTCTGTGTCTCTGCACTTCAAATAAATGAATCTTAAAAACAAACAAAAAACCTGTATGTGTCAGTCGAGATGTATTTTGTCTCTTTCTTGACTCACTGTATGTCTTACATCTTTCTTCATCTGCCTTAATTAAATAAACCATTTTTCTGAGTGATGAGATTTGCCCCCAAACATGTTGATATCTCAAAAGAAGGTTGCTTACGCCTGGGCATACAGTGGGAAGGCTGCAGGGGCTTTTGGTTAAGCTCTTGGGAAGCCAGTAGACGGGTGATGGCTCAGCAAACCCGTGATCCACTCCCCACCCCTGCCCCCAACAATGCTATCCAGTACCTTAAGGAGAAGAGTATCAAAACAGAAAAAGAACTTGAAATATTCAGAAACACCAAGGGACTCTACTTAGTAAACCTGCGCGTACCATTGTCTTATAATGGTGAGTATTTAAGGCAAGCAATGAAGATAGACAATGCCCTGAAAATTTTACAAAAGAAATGCTTCAGGGTAACCATGGGTGCGTTTAGAAGGTTTTCCTGAAGAGGTAACAGCAGCTGAAGGATGCAGGGCCTCGTGCTCCACCAGCCTGGGCTGGGGGTCCCACCCCTCTCCTCCCTCCTCCCTCACCTGCCTCTCACTAGGGAGTGCAGTGAGGGCGAGCCCCCGGGGCCCCCAAATGAAAGGGAGGAGGTCAGGAGGGAAGCTCTGGACAAGTTGCTCTCCCCGTGTAGAGAGAGAGGGACTGTTTCTGGCCTCTGCCCGTCTCGCCTTCTTGCTGTGGGACAGTGATATGGGTGCAGTGACTGAGTAGGAGGTCACAGATCCAGGGACTGAAAACAAGTTTCTAGAGGGAAAAAGAAAGGCCCTGGTGTCTGTCTGCATTCAGGCTGCTTTAGCAAAACACCGGCAGCTTAAAACCACAGAATGTGCCGCTCACCCAGGGCGGTGGCAGACCTGGTGTCTGGAGCAGGCAGCCTTTTTGATGCATGGAGGACATTTCTGCCTGGGTGGCCTCTCTCAGGCCACCAATCCTATTCCTGAGGGTTCCACCAAGGGACCTACCTGTGTATACCAGCACCTTGCAAATGCTTTGACCCTGAAGTCTGCCAACAGCAGTAAACTTTATAAAAATAAAATGATTTTAGTTATGCAAACAAATTTTTGATTTTTAGCGGACTGGCTTGGCTTCTCTGAAAGGTAAACTGTTAAGATAAGATGAGTTTGAGTAACAGGAGAATGGTGCTTTCATTTGTACATACACTATTGGACGGCGTCACCACTGGCATTAGGAAAAGGAATGTGTGGATTCTAGTGCTTGTCCTGGCTTACCAAGTAAATGAGAGCTGCGTAGGAAGCGTACATTATGCTGGTTAAGGCCGTCTTCGCCGGAAAGGAAAGGATTTCAAACAAAGAACTGCTCCGGGCCTGCAAACACAGAAGAGATGGAAATAAAACAGCATTTGTCAGTGTTTCCGCAGTATATTTTGCAAACTGGAGTACTGTTCTGGACTGTTTTCACAGTGTGGAAATATGTTAGTTCACTTTTCTCCTTTTCACAGGAGGTGCTTTCCTTCGCATGACACATCTATGAGAGTGCTTCACGGAGAGCGGAACAAAAAGATGTTGATCTTGGTGGGAAAATTTGGAAATCCATGCATTCATGGGGTCTTCACAAAGTTCATGGAAACGTATATAATGAAAAAAATGCATGGATTTCAAAATGGTTTTGCACCAAAATAACCTTATCTTTTTTAAAAAAACATTTATTTATTTATTTGCAAGTCAGAGTTACACAGAGAGAGGAGAGGCAGAGAGAGCGAGGTCTTCCATCTGCTGGTTCTCTCCCCAATTGGCCGCAACGGCCAGAGCTGCACCGATCCGAAGCCAGGAGCCAGGAGCTTCTTCCAGGTCTCCCACGTGAGGGCAGGGGCCCAAGGACTTGGGCCATCTTCTACTGCTTTCCCAGGTCACAGCAGAGAGCTGGATGGGAAGTGGAGCAGCCGGGTCTCGAACTGGTGCCCATATAGAATGCTGGCGCTTCAGGCCAGGGCGTTAACCCGCTGCACCACAGCACTGGCCCCAATAACCTTACCTTTCAATTCCACTTTCCGAAAAGCTTTTGAAGTACTCTTGCATAAAAAAACTCATTTCCAAAGTTCAAATTACTTTAACTCTTTTACAGTTACCAGCTGTGCTCACTAGGCGGAGCTGCTATGCGCGTTAGGTTAGAAAAACAGTCTTTGTTCAAATTCATGTCATCATTCTTTACTACATTATTCACAACCTCAATTAAGCAAACAGCCATCAGAATAAGCATTTCCGGGAGACAAATGGTGCTCTTGGAACCGTTAACCATGAGGCTGCTGCAGGCCAGCATTCCCTTAGGCGCGCATGAAGCTTCGGGAGACGCTCTGTGCCCAGGAGCAGGCGTGTCTGTCTGAAACACAGAGACGGTTTAGACCAGCATTGAATTTGCCTTCTCATTTGTGCCAGCAGGTGTGCGGGTCTCGGATGGACCTGTGTAACATGCTTAGTTTAAGGGCACCGAACAGTCTTCCAGGCCCCACCACTGTTGCCCTGAGCAGGAGATGAACTGGGGACGCCAGGAAAAACATCCCCTTCCCATTGGGCAGTGAAGGGAGTGGCAGTTAGCCACGCTCCTCTGAAATAAGAGCCAAGCCACTCAGTGGCTCCAGTGGGCCTCCAGATGGTACAGGCTACAGCCAATAAAACCATGGACGTGCGCAGCAGAATATGTGCCAGCAGAAGACACTGCAGACGCATCATAATTTCACACTGGCGCGCGTGCTCATAGGCTATCTCTGCTTGAGCGCGGCACACCGGGTTCTAGTCCTGGTCGGGCGCGGATTCTGTCTCGGTTGCCCCTCTTCCAGGCCAAACTCTCTGCTGTGGCCTGGGAGTGCAGTGGAGGATGGCCCAAATGTTTGGGCCCTGCACCCACATGGGAGACCAGGAAAAGCACCTGGCTCCTGGCTTCAGATCAGCGTGATGCGCCGGCCGTGGCGGCCATTGGAGGGTGAACCAACGGCAAAAAAGGAAGATCTTTCTGTCTCTCTCTTTCTCACTGTCCACTCTGCCTGTCACAAAAAAAAAAAAAAAAAAAAAAAAAAATTTACAACACTGGGAAAAATAAAGCAGAAACAATCAACAACAGAATGGTTGAGGAAATTGTCCTACATCTACCTGATAGCATATTATGCAACCTTTTTTTATTTTTTATTTTTAAAGATTTGTTTTATTTATTTGATAGAGTTACAGAGAGAGGTCTTCCATCTGCTGGTTCTCTCCCCAAGTGACCGCAATGGCCAGAGCTGAGCTGATTTGAAGCCAGGAGCTTCTTCCAGGTCTCCCACATGAGGGCAGGGGCCCATGGGCCATCTTCTACTGCTTTCCCAGGCCATAGCAGAGAGCTGGATGGGAAGTGGAACAGCCAGGACTTGAACTGGCGCCCATGTGGGATGCCGGCACTGCAAGCTAGGGCTTTAACCCACTGTGCCACAGCACCGCCCCTTCACTTTGTTCTTAAAACAATCCTATGATGTTGCCATTATCGTCATCCCCATTCCATAATGGAGAAAAGGAAAAGGTGAACAGCAAACTTGTTTGCGGTAACGCAGCTGGCCCGTGGCAAAGTTGGATTTAAACTCGGAATCTTATGGCCGGCGCCCCAGCTCACTAGGCTAATCCTTTGCCTGCGGCACCAGTACCCTGGGTTCTAGTCCCAGTTGGGGCGCCAGATTCTGTCCGGGTTGCTCCTCTTCCAGTCCAGCTCTCTGCTGTGGCCCGGGAAGGCAGTGGAGAATGGCCCAAGTGCTTGGGCCCTGCACCGTATGGGAGACCAGGAGGAAGCACCTGGCTCCTGGCTTTGGACCAGCGCAGTGCTGGCCATAGCAGCCATTTGGGGGATGAACCAATGGAAGGAAGACCTTTCTCTCTGTCTCTCTCTCTCTCTCACTGTCTAACTCTGCCTGTCAAAAAATAAATAAAAAATAAAAATAAATAAACTCGGAATCTTACACACGCCGGCCCAGGTGCTTCACCTGCCCATTAGGCTGTACTGCCCTGGGGGAGAACAGCAGAGGGTGTGCTGGAATGGCTATGATTTTATTTATGGCATAGGTTTGCAATCCATGAAAATAAGAAAATTCTTGTAAAGAGCTTAGAATGGCTGCCATGAGCAATGTGGTAGGCATCATTAGCGCTTCATAATACACGCGAGACAGAGCAAGAGGCAGAACTGGGAGTGTAACAATTATGACTCCATACACACAAAGCAGGCCGGACTAGCTTGATGCTGCTGTCCAGGCACGCGTGCGATTAACTCATCGAGCTGCGCGCTAAACTTGTACATTCTGTATACTTGCATTTTAAGGAAAAGCCCTATGTCCAGAGTTCTGAGGATTAAAATATAGATAATTCACATCATACAGGAAAAGTCTGGACGGAAATGCACCAAGGGTATATGAGCTTTGTCAGGTTAACATTTATAGACGTGTTATGGCTTCACATGCTTAACACAGGATACTTGTTAGATGCTAAGTTCTATTCTAATGGCTTCATCTGTGTCGTCTCCTTTTATCTTAGAACCAACCTATGAAATAGGAACTCGGGCTCAGAGACATGAACGTGCTTTCTTGTTTTCTGAACTTTCCAAGTTCAGCTGTCAGAGTATGTGGCAGTTTTACAAATGAAATTAGGCAAGCCGGCGGGTGCTGGGCTTCGCGCGGCAGCCGGCTCGGGTTTTGCCTCTTCCTGCCGCTGCTGAACCAAGAACAAGATTCCTGAGTGATCGCTGGCAAGCTGAAACCCAGAGTCCGGTTTGGCCTAGTAGCTGAGAGGGCGCCTGGGGGCGGGGCGGCGAACCGGGCGGCTGGCCGTATACTTCCTCCTCGCTCTCTTTGCAGCCCCACTCCTAAATGTTGCAGCAGGTTCAGCCCACTCCCTCCGAAGTCGCAACTTGGAGAAGTTCCTAGAATCCCTGGCTTCTAGGAAGCACTTCCAGGAAATGAAGCAGCTGCTCTTTTTCCCCCCTTCTTGGCTAGAAGAATGAAAATGATTGTATGCTCTTGAATCTATTAGGAGACAAACATCCTGGCACACAGCAGCCTGTCTAGGAGGGGGAAAAAACAAAGCTGCAGGTGCACGCCCACACACTGCCCTTCTGGCAGAGTGAAGTCTTGAGTTGCTGGCTACACGAAGGCACAGAGCATCGGGCGGCTGCGCCTCCAAGTAAAAGGGCTGGATGCGTGAGCGATTACCCTGGGTCTAGCTCACTACATTGCTGTCTCAGATTCGGTCCTTCACCTAAAAGGACTTCAAACTGTTCAGTCTCAAAATTCTGCGTCTGAACTATGTTCGGCATCTGAACAATTAAGACGGTGTATTGCCTAAGGGTCACCCTGTCACTATTTTAATGCCTTTAATACATACTTTCTATTCCTGTAACAAATCATCCTTTCAGAAAAACATGCTGCTTCCAGAATGTATGTGGTTACTGGCAAGTAGCCATTTTTCAATTTTATGACTCACTTGCAAACCCATCTTTTTCATATTATAAGCCTCCCTGTTTCAGTTTTGGCATGCGTTGAGCGGGAATCTTGTATGGTTAAAAAAACAAAAACTGAGATAAATAAACGAGAGAAATCTGGTAAATGGGAGTCTTTATTTGGATTGTCTTGGCCTCTTTCGATATTTTCAACTTAACCTTGTTCTATTAATTTCAGTTCATTTGCATATTCGAGTGAAAAATATCTTGGTCTCAATGTTACGTCCATGTATTTTCTTTTTCAGTTTGGTAATGTTAACTTGTAAAACATGGATCTTTGAAGATTAAAAACATTTCAACTTTTAGCTAAACTTCCACACAATTTTTGACTGCCTCATCTCATAAGGAAGTATCTATGTTCATCTTTTTTCACTAATAATAAAATAAATCTCCCCAAAAACCAACTACAAACAGTTCAGAAAATAAAGATCTGCTTACACAAGGGCACTGCAAAACACTGGTGGAAGATGGAGTTAAATTATCAATTTATTTTGGCGCAAACTCGGAAATCTATGTATAATCGTGGAAAATGTATATTAAGAAAAGATATGCATGGATTTCAAAAATTGTTTTGCACCAGACTAAACATCTGTGAATTCCATTTTCCACAAACGTTGTGTGGAACGTTCTTGCACAAATGAAATTAGGCAAACCGGCGGGTGCTGGACCTGGAGGCTGGAGAACTAGGGGACCACGTTGGTGCAGGCTGTCCACAGCCACCTTGAGCAGGGAAGGGCACCAGCACAGTCGGAGAGGAAACTCTTGCTCCCTGATTCAGCAAGAACCACGGCAGGAGACCGGCTGCTCCCACACAGGCGCATCCGCAAGACCTTCACAACGCTGTCTGTACTCAGGAGGACGCGGCCCAAACCCCTGTGTTGACATCCCAAGGGGGCGTTCTTGAGAAAGCCTTGAGAGGGGTGGTCCCCATCTCTTAGCCACACTGGAGAAGCCCGCCTTCAGAGCCCAGCACTTCCGCTTTCTAGGAACTGTCCTCTTCTCCCAGGCCTGGATGGCTGCAGCCCAGTCAACCCTGAGCCAGCCCCACAAGGGCTCACGGAAGCTCCTGATATCTGTGAGGCTTGCAGATGAAACCTCCAACAGACTCTCCGCGGGAGGGTTGGCCGCGAGGAAGAAACTTGGCTGACTTTCGTCTTTACCCCATGGACAGAGTCCACGCTCACTGGGATCCACCCAGGGCCCTGGGCCTTTGAGAGGCTGGGGGCTTCCCTCACTTGGGTCTCTCGCCCTAAACCACGCCACGGTGCCTACGCAGAGGCAAAGCAGCCATGTCCGATGCCGATGCAGGGATGATTGTGTCATCCGCATTGGAGCCGCTGAGCCGATGGCCTCGTGCGGCCTGCCAACATCAACATCTCTGTCTAGAAGCCGGCGAGTCTTGGCTGGGGCCAGCACCGAAGCCCATTATCTAGGTCAGGGCGGTGAGGGCAGCTGCAGGCTGCACCCAGCCGGGCGGGCACAGGCACCAGACCGGGAGCACTGGGCCGGGGGTGTCAGAGACCGTCAGGAAATCCCACCCCACCCCCACCCCCCGACTCGCTTTCCATGGCAGAGGCCTCTTCTAGCATCCCCCATTCTCCCACCGCTGCGGCCTCAGCCCCCATACAGGCCCCAGGGCTCTGCGGAGTCGCCTGACTCAGCAGCTGCACAGCAGTGTCTCCGGCAGCAAGACGGCCGGCAGGGGGCTCTGCTGTGCCCCCTGCTCCTACGCGCGTGCGTTGCTGCGGTCTCTGTAGGTCACTGGTGTGGATCAGGTTCTGGGTAGCTCATGCTTGGCACATTTCCCACGTGCTCAGACACACGGGAGCCGCTCGAGAGCTGAGTGTGCAAGCAGAAAAGCGGCCTTGTCC